CACAAGTCTTAGTGTATTGTGTCAATAACAGAAGTATCCGACAGATTAACTACTTAGAAAAATGTTAAAATAAGCAACTATACGGAAAAAAGAGTCATCATAATATTGTCGACAAGAGAGTTATGATTAAAGCAATGCGACGGTCATCCAAATGTTTTATTTTAAAATGGGAGTGATTAACAAACGAAAATACAAAATACATTTTTTCACATACGTTAAGAGCTAAGTTCTGAACGATTTACCAACTGACACTCAGTTCAGAGGTCTGAGAGCTCAAGAATCCGTGCACAGTTTGAAGTTCTCCCTGTTGTACGTCATGTGGTTTTTAACTGTTTTTGACGTTCAATAAAAAAAATAAGGATATCTAAAAAAACATACATTCAATGGATATTTACCATGAAATCAGGCGAGTTTTTGATTTCTCTATTCCATTTTTGTGTTGCAAAGGATTTTACTATCCCGGAAAATGGCGGATGATTTTTCTTATTCATTGTAGTTTGTTTTTGTACGATGAATTTATTTCAATGCAAACTTTATATTTTTGATACCGTTTACGAGGTGTAATTTGTGGTGTCAATTGTAATAAGGTGTTTCTGTTTAAGGTGGAATGAAATTTATTCATCGTCGCCCTGAATTCCATTCTACTCGTCATCGCGTATTGCATACAAATATCCCCCTTTACGTAAAGCAGAGGTTCATAGAGATATTCATAAAGGGAGAGCTAACTCGTTATAAAAGCTACATACGCTTTTACGTAAAAGTGTACGAAATATCGTTGTGTCTTTTACGATCCAGTTTTTACGACCAATAGGGTAAATGAAGGTTTGCGGAATATTGAGAAAGTATTTCAAAGTGCCCGATAATGTAGTACACGCGTCGTCTGTTTTATTGTCTGAGTTTTATGTTTTTACATTTATATTAATTAATATTCTGATGATATCGATGGGTGAAAATAATTTAATTACTCTCACTTAAATCAAGTAAGTTAACACTCCGCGTAAAGTGTATTAATTATTCTTTAATTCAGATTTTTCATACATAATAATTGTTAAAATTACGCAAAAATAAGTTACACGAATTTGATATTATATTCAGTTATAATAGCCGTTTCTGTTCTACAAGGTCCTTGTTCTACATTGTGCACAATTAGGTACAAGAGTGTTGCAGACCTTTTACATTTTTTTGTCATCGCATTCCCTTATGGAATTTTCGTGCACAAGTATACTGTTTAGAAAGACCCACTAAATAGGCGTTTCAGAGCAAACTATTTTCTCTCCTGAATTCCAAAGCGGTTTGTTGAAAGCACGAAACGTTACGTGACCTTATCCATTCTGATTATTGATTAAAAGGTAGGTGTAATAAATAACATATTCGCACAGTAAGTTTTTGATAGTAATCACTCTCGCGGTTTAAAGTCGCTGAAAGCTGGTTATTATCAAGTTTTCTGCCTACTAGTGATGTTTTTTCTTGCATTTTTTGACATATAGAGCTAAGTGAACATGCAACAAAAGATATGAAAAGAAAAGACGTATGTAATATATGTAACATATTAAAGACAGTTTACAGCTTATGAATTGTGGAATACAATTATTATCATGTTATTTTTTTCAATATACATTCTAGTTTGAAAAAATGTGCGGACATATGTGTTTATTTGGTATTTGTTGTTTGTGAAGTCACATTTCTTTTCTTTGTATTTCTTACGGCTGCTACGTGTTTAACAGGCTGCTATGTGTTGGCGAAGTGATATTGCAGTAGTTCTCAACTTCTGGTATATGTATCCACTGGAGTATGCTGCAGGCTTCTAAAGGTTACTTGAATAACTCATATTTGATGTATAAATTAACCACAATTTAAATGACTAATCATGCCCTAGATATTCAAGATGTTCTCATATCAATTGCAGAGATAATTTTTTTCCTTTGGTGTGATACGTTATTAAGTTGAGTTTCTTCATCGTTTTTAACATTATGAGTTTAATATAATAATTTTATGGATACCTATATGTTAGCTTGTGTGTTCACCTCCAGGTATCTCACTCAGCTTTGACACCACCCCAACCGGGACAAACTCTAAGCTTAGGTCTTGTTTCCAGACATGTGTGTTAAATTGGTGCATGTACTGGGGGCTCGTAAAGGGAGAAGAGAGGACAATAATGAGAAAAGAAAGATCGCGCACAGCCTGTGTTTTATTGTTAAGGTACTTCTGTGCCTTTCGCCTCGTATTGATCAGAGAAATCACGAGAAAGAGAGCAACCGCCTGCTAGAATTCTCCTCCAGAAAATACAATCGAAATGAGAACCAAGGTATATTTTTCAATTAACTATTAACAAAATTAACACTAAACGTTAGGATTCTTAAAAGTTTCATTAGACAAGCAAACATTGTTTCTTGAAAACGTAACATATACGTATACTCGTATTCATACTCGGATTCATTGCGCAAATGTAATCAAAAACACACACGAGGTCGTCATAGCCGTAAATGAAGTTGACTGACGTTGAGAAGGATTCCCTTTAGCAAGCATCATGCAATCCGTCTTTAAAGCAGGTCCAAATATCGCCCTCATTGCATTCTGCTATGCCATTTCTCCATTAGTTTGTGATATATTTTCCTTCGCAGCAGACTCCCTGGTGCTAAGCAGCAACCAAAGCTACGTGACTTGGGAATTGACAAGAGTTACTTGATTTTTTAGGACTCCTTTAAATAGAGCATTTAGTAAATTTTAATTCGGATTTATTTACGACTGTCTTGTCTCATACCTCCGTCGACTCCTTTATTTACATTGAATGCCATTCTGTTTCAGCAGATGAAATTACCGCCTCTGGATAATTTAATCTCCCACTCGGGGGCTGTATCGCGCACTTCATGGGCGTATTTGCCGGGCAAGAGAGGGCGCTTCGTGGAGTGAGAATTGCGAAATGAATGAAAGACAAAAACCTGACACTGGTTGAAGTGCCGTAACGTAGTACTCTAACGTAAAGTAATGGAGACAATGGAACTCCAATGAAATGAGGAAGGAATAAATGCGAGAGAACTCAGTCAAAGGTGTTGCTAGCCCGTCCGGATTGCCGAGATCGCTGAGGCAGTAGTGCTGTAGCGATCTCGGACCGAAGGATCGCGGGTTCGAGTCCCACCTCAGGCAGGGTTGTATTGTGTTCGTCCTTTCATATACTCCAATCATCATATCGTGTCCTCCTCATAGTTACCATACTGTTACACGCAATAGTCGTCGCTAATGGCCAAGTAGTTGATGCGACCTTAAATAACCAAAAGAAAAAAAGTTGTTGCTAGCTCGCTCTGTCCACATCTGATTCCACATGCACCGACGGAATACAAACTGCGGACCCAGAGATGCAGGGCCAGCAGACTCGCTTCTGAGCTCTTAGTTACTCACTCACATCATGCATACTTACTAAAACGTGGTATTTCTTGTTTGTGCAGATCTAATATTCACTTTCATTGCATACTTCTTAGTAGATGTATTCCTTTAAATAACGCGTTATTTGAAATACTTTGAATGAACTGACATATAACGGGCACGTGCACATAGAGTTGGGAATTGAAGAATTAAACTAAACTTGACAAGATCGTTCTTAATGGAGAGCGCACATAACATATTATGATCATTTAGAAGATAAAATTAACGGACTTGACGTATAGAGAAATAGTATAGCGGCGTATAGTATAGAGAAATAGGTAAAGTGTCTTCTGCGAACGGCTGGTCGATCCTATCCTTCAAACCGACCGGGAGAAGTGGTTCAGGGCATCAACAGATGTCACTGCAGTGCCACAAACCGGGAGGTAGTAGGTTCCAGTCCCGACGAGGGCAGGATGTTCACCACTTGCTACAAAACTAGGTGGAGTTCAGTCGCTGTCGAGGGAAATTCTAGCGACCGACTGCTCTGATGGGTAGATTTCCGTGGTTTCTCCGATCAGTATTAGGCGAATGCCGGAGCAGTACACTAACAAACGGACCACGGGGCGCGCGCGATCTTTCCATCGCTTTCCTGGTCCTAACCTCACCCCTTATTTACACACACACTTACACTTACACTTACATGGACAACACTACCACATGCCGGGAGTCCGGTCGGGAGCTTCGAGCTTGCCCCGGATGGTGCGGTACCCCGCTGGAGGAAGATTCCTGGTTCTGGAGGATCGCGACCGGTAGGTCGGTGCCGGACCTCACCATCCTGCGAGGGAAGATCGCCGCCTCCTCCAGAGGATAATCATGCACTACACTAACGAGACTAATTACCTTAGCAGTTGACGCGCCCGTAATAACTAATCAACCAATCAATCAAAAATCAACCAAACCGGAAAATTATAAATGTGTAACATTGACCGAATCAATTCAAACCAAAATAAGGAGCGTGTTTTCAGCATTATGATCTTGTATTCAGAGTTGAATTGGATTTGGCGAGTTTACGAAGTCGGAGATGTATGTGTTCTGACTTTGAACAAAGAAAAAAGGATTTTATTGTGCATCTCGTAAAATGAATCCACTAAATACTGACGACCAATATGACCCCAGAGTATTAAATTGTGCTCTAATTAGAACATAGAAATGCAAAGTTTGAGACATTGTTTTAGTTTATGGTTTTCTACCTGGATTATTTTTCTCGACCATAGTGTATAATGTAAGGGGCATTAAAACTGTTCGTTCACTGAATATTTGTTCACCGAAAATTACATTTATCTCAAGGTGCCGTTTGTGAGACTTAAATTTCAGATGGCATTACTCATTCCTAAAACTCATTTCTGCTGGTTATATGTTGTTTTGTATGGACTAGACGAACATTGCCTGCCGTTTAAAGTACCCTCTTGCTACGCGTGATGGTCGCACGTGAACATTAACGCTGAGCTCCATGCAAGCGTGTGTGTGTGTGTGTGAAAGTTGCGCCGTCGCTGCGGCGGCTGGCGGCGTGCGTGCGGGCGGGGGTGGGGTGGAGCGTATGAGCGTAGGGTGCCCGCTCAGCTCGTCTTTCGCGTTGCAGGGCGTCGCGAGGTGCCGCATCGGCACGCAGAGTGGCAGCAGCTGTGGTACTCCAACTTCGAGGAGTTCCAGCGCCTGACGGAGCCCAGCTTCGACAACAACACCGTCACCAACATCACCGTGCAGCTGGGCGGCACCGCCTTCCTGCACTGCCGCGTGCGCAACCTGGGCGAACGCACGGTGAGTAGGCACGGCGAGCGCCCCCTCGCCACGCACTCCTCCCCCATGTCTCCTCCCCACGGGCTCCTGCCTATCCACCCCACTCCATTCACCTCTCTCCACTCTCTTTGCCTCGCCTCGCCTCACCACACGTCACATCATGCAACCACCCCCTCGCTCCCTCGCCTCGCCATATTGCCCTCATCCGCCGCACCTTCGCATCCCATCCAACCCCACCCCAGTGCACCCACCTCCACATAGTTCCACCTCACTACACCCTTCACTAGTCCCGCCCTACTCCCACCATCTCGTTCTATGAAAGTATTCATGCGGCGATTTTTGTCATTGACGTTTATTTTAATGCGTTTAAATAAACCTATATGACACGACAACGCCTTATAATAACTTTCATTATGATGCTAATGTCATAAACAGCATCTCCTACCATTCTACATTCTATTTTCCACCCACCGCTACTACCCTATCGCCCACGCTTCTTCACTCGCTCTTTGCTCTCCCCTTCACAGACCTCCCGATTGCGACATCGCCACACCAACTACTCCAACAACAGTGACATGGGGGATTCACATAATTATCTGACGAACTATATGAATGTGCTATAAGAATTTCTCTGAATAATTACAGCGTTTTAATTAAATGAAGTATTTGTTTAGAGTCGAAACTAGACAAAAAAGGAGAACTGTAGGGATTATCGACACATTCACGAGGTATTCTAAAATATTAATGAAAATATCAACACAACTCTTGTGAAAGTTTGTGAATGTTTTGTATGAACCTTGAGACGTTAATATGGGTTAACAGTACGCTCTCGTTGAATTTTGTGTATGGATGGATCATACGGAAGGATTCTGGAGTTCAAGGAAACCTGTGTGTATTATACTTCTCTCCCATACTTCACATTCAGTTTTTACTGATGACCGACGATAATAAATCAAATTAAATTATGTGAAATCTACCTAACTCCCATTTATTTTGCCCTATTTTTCGTAAGTAATATTGAAGTCGTAAGTAGTATTGATTTTAGAAAGCAGTTACAAATAGCGTAAAGTACCTGTTTAGTAAAAAAATAATGGCGAACAATATTACAGAACTCATTATTAAAGTGTCAGAACCCTCTATTTCAACCTCACAGATAAATGAAACTCCCATTCTTTTTCATATCGCGAACGCCAACCAGAACGTTATTGCTTCCACTTGTAAGAGTTGATTTAATTTCCAGTGTCTAGATATAAATATAATTATAAATTAATAAAATTTGTTTGTGCCTCATAAAGCTCGTAGTCTACGCTACATTGTTTCTGCCTCGGCTACTCTGCAGTTTCTGTACGATTATATGGTGCGCACATTGGGTTTCAGCACGCACCGTTATGTCATTTCGAATAAATTAAAATTGAAAATAAATAGCACATTGTTTGACGCACCTATAGTTATTTTTTACTAATTGAATACGCGTTTATGAACGTTTGATATATTTTTTAATAAATACTCACTTTTTATTATTTCACTGTGACATTACTACGAAATCAGGTCAACAGCGCCATGTATTTTATCCCAAATATTATTGTGAATTACTAGTAAAAATTACTACACAGTAAACTCTTCTTAATTCGATATTGGATTATTAGAATTATTGTAGTTGTAAGAAACGTTTGTACCCCTCGCAAATCTTATTATAATTTAACATTATTTCTTCTGTTTAATTCTAGTTTTGGAAATTTATGTTTGCATTTTTGGATTCCAGAATTGTGATAATTTCTGTAACAAGTGTTGGATGTTATTAAACTTATCATTTCAAAAATGTAATTTCTTGGAGAATTTATAACATTATTGGGGTTAGTGCAGTAGAGATACACAACTTCCAGCTCTTCTTGAGACAAAATGTCGAAAAATGCTTCGAACAGATGGTTCTTTGGAAGAAAATGTAGATATATTTCAGTAGTGAATACCGTAGTTCACCATGTATTGCTTAAACCTCTTCCCAAAATATATTTCTCTCTCCAATTTGTAATATTTCGTGTCGCTTCATTACGTAAAGAATTATATTTATCTTGGTTAGCTATAAAATGTGTCGTGTATTATTAGCACTGTAGATTTTATAATTTTGTTTCAACTGATATTTTTATAAAATGAATGTAAATTGCATTATATGCAATTTTTAATTCTTTCAAAAATGATTAATTTTTTGGTCGGGATTGAAATTAAAAACACTTTTTCCTGAACCTTGCAATAAATATTTAGTGATTATTTGTGTTTTAAAAAAATTCAAAGGAATTTAATTCACTATTAATTTATTTATTCATTATTCTCTTATTAGGCCAATGTGAATCGCAACAGTTTAATGTCACAGGCATTACAACTTAATTGTTTCCGTCAGTTATCCTGCGAACCCTTAGAAAAGTTTCCAAGTTTGAAAACTATCAAATTTTATCTAAATCAGTTGATGACTGTGCATTAAATCCAAGGAGCTCTGGTTTAAATTTGACTTAATTCGATCTGTTTTCAAAGCATGAAATTTGCATCTGCATTTGCAGAGACATTGCAGTTCGAAAAACATAACTGGCTGAAGATCCTTCAAATTTAAATGCTCCTTATGTGTTCACCCTATTCATATTGCATATTTTCTCAGCTAGGGAATAACTCAAAAATGGATAAAAATCTCCGAGACCGTTTGTGGGGAACCCTGGCAGTGAATATGAAAGTCAAAACATTTTTTATGATGGCGTTCAGATGACGCAGAAAGTAGTATTTACTTGTAGAGAGGATCATATCGGGGGAAGCCAGTAAATAAACTTCTAAACAAGTAATGTTTTCTATAATATTACGGTTGAAGCCATTACAAAAATGTGCAGTTGACTTACCGGTAATCGACGCCATTTTGTCCGTCCCGTACCAGTACCAACATCATTGATTTTAGAAGTGAAGAGTGAATTCATTTTGTCAACATAACAGAACAAATGTATTTTTGTAATAATGTACAACGAATACACAGTAAATAAACTTGAGCTTACAAAAGATTTCCATTCTCGATACAGGTGTGGAGTCTTCCGAGTATTGCCTCAGATAAAAGCAAGACACTTTGGAACATAATGCGATAAAATCATTGACCAATCTTTCATGCTAATAGTCGGATTCTAATCAATCTTTTCGATCAGGAGTGACAACTTGACGCACGCCGTAATTTTCTGGGATAATCTAATTAATCTGAAAGGTCTTGTGTCTTAAAATTTTCTTTACAACTTATTCAATTATATGGGGTAGAAAAATAGGTTCCCCCGTCAGTTTAAATGAACACTTTAGCGAGACAATTTTGCTGAGACGAAACGTATTTTAAGCGCAATTTACGTGAGGACATCTACCCGGCCGGCAGTTCCCTAGACAATAACGGATCGTGTTACGTAACCCCTGCGGACAGCGCGAAAGATAGTTCGTCGAGGAACCTGCGGTCTTGTTGCACTCGCCGAGTGTGCTTCAAGTCTCGAGGCAGGAGTGAAGGCAGTGGAGGTCGAGAAAAGTCGAGTGTCACGGTGAAGTAGACAGTCTACGCCTTACGTAATTGTACTTACCACAAAGTTATCTCCATTTCAGCCAACCAAAGAAAGCTTTCGTGGCAATATCTTGGCAGTTTGCTTTTTTGGTAACTTTCTCAGTTTGTTCAAAAAGAAATATAACACTTTGTTCGTCAATTCGTAACTTATATAATCTTCGTAAATGACACTTTATTTTCTAGCGCGGAAACCGTTTTCACCACTTCCCTTTCTCGTATGATATCACTATGTAAGGCACTTCGGTATTTATAATTACAAAAAAAACTTCAAATACCTTGCTACCAGTATGTCCTGTTATCGGATAATTTCCACAAGTACAGCCAGCCCTTTTAAGACAATTATGTTGATAGCTCGGTTCTGGTTGGGAGTCACTCGGACTGAAAGACCTTTTTCGTTGGTCTGTGTGGGTGGTTTGCAAGAATCTTGGATTCGGCTGAGCGCGGCAGTATTTTTCCAAAAAAAAAA